GCTCGGTGAAGGCCGGGCGGTGGGTGCCTCCTTTATGGCTCCCGTGAGTGCTGCGCCTGTCGGTGCTCTGCAGGATCCGGCCGTGCTAGTGGGAATACGGGCTCGGGGAGAGACTGGGCTGGTGCCGGGCCCCAGGCTGTGCTGGGGAGCAGGGGTAGAGCTCAGCCTGGGAAAGGGCGAGAGCTGGAGGGCCTGGGACCAGCATGAGGGAGGCTGGAGAGAGCACAGGGGAGAGATGAGACACTGGGGTGTTTTCTGTTGCTGCAAGATGCTTCTTTTTGCCCGTTATTTTGCTCTCAGGTTCTCTTCTCTGCTCTCTAGCTATCTCTTGCTTGCAGAGCCTCCCAGCCTTGCTGTCTCCTGTAAGCAGAGAGCTTATCTGCTCCAAGGCTGCTTGTTCACCCCCCACACATTGCTTTAAGTCATAGCCTCGTTACGGTTGGAAAAGACTTTCAAGATCACTGAGTCCAGCCATAAGTCCAAGCACAACCAGGAGCTCGACAGAGATGCCTGCCACAGGTGGGAGTGCTGAACCCCAGGGCAGAAGGCAGCAGAGCAGCGGCCTTGACTGCGGGCTAGACCTAACTAAAGTCTGTCTCCTGGAGCCACATCTGAGCCAGGGAAACTGTCCTAGCCAAAACCCTGTGGTAACAGCTCTCTCTACCTTTGCTTACCTGCATGTGAGTCACTAATACGAGTGGCAAAATTATCCTTCCTCAGAGATTTTGGATGTCGTGTGCGAGTGTGTTTAATAACCCTAAAAACATGCATGTGTTAAGGAAAGCCTTCTACAAAATTGTCAGGGACACTTTTGGTTCCTCATATGTGAAGGGACTTGAAAATTCTAGTACCTGTTTTTGCAAAGCTTGGGTAATAAGGATTTGTAGTGTGTTTTAGCCGCTTCCATGCTCTTGCTTGGAAAGGTGTCCAGGAAGGAATGGACAAAGTTTGAGTAATATGCCATTAAAATCAATTTAAAACCTGAAAATTAAAAACAAACAAACAAAAAAAAACTCATGTCCTTATTGTACGTCTGAGCCCTAGTTGTACAAAGTGTAACTTTGGACTCATAATCTAATATTTTTTTCTTTCGTTGCTCTGACTGATTTGTGACTGTTTCTCCTTCTGTGTTTTTCCTGATCTACACATCCTCACTAATCTAGTTTACCCTAGATGAAGGCATGGATTTAAGTAAATTATAATGACCTTGGCAGCAGTAAATTTAGCAGATATCTAGCCAGCTGGGTGAGGTTCTGAGTTTGTTCTCAATAAGAGGTAGTTGAAGGAAGAGACAAGACTAAACTAAACATAGGCAGCTGTTGCAAAGCCATGAACTCCTATGATAACAAGTTGTCAACTCCATCTTGTCCCATGAACTGGTAATTTTGGACTTTGAAAGTTTCTGTAGAGTCCTGCGTTAATGTGTGGTGTTTAGTTAAAGTGTATTTCCGTAGGGCGGTTTTCACCTCTAGGTCAAAACTTTGTTTGGTTAGCAGTTCACAGAACTGTGCTAAGCAGGTCAGAAACGGAAGCAAAGCGCAGCGAGCTGCTGGGCCTGTGCACTTGCAGCACTTCTGCATGTGGTTACTGAGTCAGCTTCAGACTTCCTCATCCCACCAGTTTCTAACCCTGCGCTGGTTTCCAAAGACACCCTCCTCAGCTTCCTCTCTCGCTTTCCAAATCTGCAGCCTGTGGTGGGAGCAGGGGGCTCCATCTTCCCCCCTCACTGCAGAGCCCCTGTTGAGTGCACTTCTTGTGCTGTATATCCCATCTCTCCAGCCCACAGCCCTTCCTGCTTGTCTTGTGCCCCCAAGAACCTGCCGTGGATCTCCAGTGGGAAATGGGGTCCCTGGGCTTGCCAGGTTCTTGCAGAAATTGCACGTGAGCTGCAACTGAGTTGCTCAGCAGCTGCACGTGGCTCCTGAGCTGCCCTGTGCTGGCCCCATGCCACGTGTGCTCTGGGCTTTGAGGAGCTCGAGGCTGGGTCTGCACCAGGGGACAGAGAGTTCCCATGGGTGCCAGCAGCAACCTCAGTCAGAGCACCGCTAGCAACGTGGCCTGTCCTCTGCTTGGGCTTTTTGGGCAAAACCTGCCCTCTAAAGATAAACAGGGCTGCCAAAGGTTGGTTAGTGGTTAAATTGTAACAGGCTTGAAGTTAGTAAAAGATACCAATGTGCTGTGTCTCCTCCAGGGCTTTGATTCAGTGAAGGTAAGTTGCAAGCATCTAAGTTGCGAATAGTGTGGTGTTCATTGCTTTCACTAAAATATAGCATGCATCTGCAATGAACTTGTTACTGAGTGTGAGATCAAGGGCGTTCTGAGAGCTTGTTCCTGTATTCCTCCTGTTGAGATATTCACTGATTTTTTTTATTATTTTTTTTTAAATATCTCAAACTGGCACAAAGTTGTGCTTACAAGAGCTTCGGGGATATATATATATATATATTATATATATATATATATGTATATATGTAATTCTGAAAACATAAGCATTGAATAACTCCCATTTTTTTCTAAAGCTTTAAGTACAAAGCTTTAATAACCAGAATTCACCATTAGCACAGAGTTGTAGCTGTGCAGAGTTATCTTTTTCCACTGCAAAAGAGATCGAGACATTTAATATTTAATACTTTATGGATGATATGCGAAGAAAGCTAAAAAGGTGAGAGCTAATGGCAGTAAATTCCTTTCACTTTATGGCCTTTGGAAGGTAGACATCTTGGGCATTTCTGGATTTAAAGGGTTTGCTGGTGAAATCTTGACAGCATCACTGTATAGTGTGTGGTTCTCACCAATCAAATTCATTGCAAATTCAGTGCAAATTCATTGTCCTCAACAGTTCACCTGTTTCAATGTGTTGAGCTTAGTTGTGACTTTCTCCTCAGGTTCTTAAATTTGAGTTGGTGCAATAACAACTGAAGCAGAACTAGCCAAGACTTCCTCGAGTGCAGTTTAGGAGCAACCTAAATTATACCTCTGTGTTTTTGTTGTTGTACCTGGTTGGAAATGTGGCTGGTAGAAGCTGTCTTAGCAATTGTACTTTGGTACTCAAATACGTCCTTATTACTGCATGCTTGGAGACGCAGGTTTTTAGTGGAAAAAGGAGCTTCATTAAAGCAGTGCTACTTACAAGATGTTGTTTAATATAATGATAAATACTCATAAGGGCGGTTTGACGTTGTCTGATGGACTAAGCAGTAATTGTAAATATAGAGGAACAGAGCATGAAAGCTTCTTGTTGCAAAATGTGAATTATCGCTTGAAGTGAAAGAAGTGAGTGCCTGAACGCAGTGCCCGCTAGCACTCCTGCACAAGAACAAGCATTTGTTGGGCATTGCTCTGCAGAGATACCTGCACACGCTCTTTGACTTGACTGATTTAGACTTGGTGTTTTGGTTTTTAAAAGCCTTTGAGACAAGCTAATTAATTAATCTTAACAACCTGGGTATTAGGAGAGATTTCATCCAGGGCCAGAGAGTCAAAAATTAGATATAGGGAGTTTGGGCTGGGTAGGGATTACCTGTTTAGTACTGTACCTCAAGGGAAGGTAAATGAGAGAAGAGCCTGCTTATGCACTGAGCTGTTACAGCTCCAGTGTTGTGGCTTTTTTTTTTTTCTCCTTTTGGTGTGGCTGAGAATGTCTTAGGAATTGCAGGGTTGTGTCTGGGAGGTGGGTGGAATTTTAGATAGGCACACTGCCTGAGGAATGTGCCTTTAGTTTTCGCTATTATGTTACAATACAGATAATTCTTTAATTAATCTCCCTTATTCTTTCAGCTGTTTTTTCAAGGTCATAATGCAGCAGAAAAATGAAAGAACATAGAAGGAACCTGCTTTATGAAAGAAGTCAGTTGCTTGCCCAGTCTAGGAGATGGACCCTTGGATTTTGGGAGCTCAGAAAATACCACTTCCAAAAGTATTACTTCCTAGCTAAGAAGAAAAGACAGCATGCACAGCTAAATGTGAGTTTAAATTGCAACAAATTGCGCTTGAGACTCCAGTGTGGAAGGCAGGCACTTGAGCTTCAGAGCAGGTGGGATGCTGATGTGCTTCTAAATGCCAAAACTTATCAAAAACATACTATTGAATATAGAGCATTCATTGCAAAAATACGGAGGGCAAGAAGGTCCTGTCCCTATGGTACAACCAAAAGCCCATCTGCTGAAGCAGTAAAAGAGCCCTCAACAATGAATCCTTTCAGCATGAAGATCCCTCGAACAAAGAATTAGAAACCGATGCTGTTCTCGATAGCGTCCAAGTCAATATCCATTATGTCTCCTGTAGTGTGCTGTGTGGTGCTGCCTTACCTGTAATGAAAGAAGGTTTTGTGTGTAATGGGAAAGAGAGAAATAATGGTGAGGGCAACACAGTCCTAATAGTTTTAAACCACTGTAAAAGGAAATGCTGTTTCAAAGGGAGTGGAATGGAACTTGTATCCCCTTTACAACTGTAAAGAGGTCCAAATTCAACTATCATACTGTAAAAAAGAGATCTTTGTTTATGATGCATAAGAAACTTTCTGTGGTTAGGTGTTGGTATAGAATTATAAAATCCCCAAAACTTCAAGCAAGAGGCAGAACCTGCAAGTCAAGAAAAATCAAGCCAAGGCAGGTGGAGAAAGTTACAAGGGACCATCACGAGACTCTCCAGCGGGACTTGGACAGTGGATTGTGTAACTGGCTTTCCTACTGGAAATTTAAAAGTAACTGTCTTTGGAAGCAGTGCAGCTTATCAGATATGGACAGTAATACACCTGAATCTTTAGGTGAGGAGAATGAAATATGTGCACCTGAGATCTGCTGTACGCAGGATCCGTCACCATGTACGGAGCTGTGTTCCGAGGAGCCAGAATCCGGAGGCCGGGATGGCAGCGCTGATGCTGTCCAACCAGAACTGCACGATAGAGCTCCGGAGGCAGAGACCTTGCACGAGGTGGAGACAGATGAGGCTCTGACAGAGGATCATTGCTCCGACCTTTTCATCTCTGTGACAGAAAAAGAAATTGCTATTTCAGGTCAAGATGATGCAGAATCTAATCAGGTTATGAGTGTAGATGAAATGATACTGTTGCAATCCTCCTTGCAGGGTTCCGATCTGAATGATGATTTTGCAAATGGACCTTTATCCATGGAACTGGCACAAAGTGAGGACAGCTCTAGCCAAATGGAAGTAGAGGGCTCGCTAAACCTGGATATTTTTGGCACAAAGTTACTAGATCACCCTTACTGTAAAAGTCCTCTTGAAGAGCCTTTGCCAGAAAGCACAGGACTAAAATCAGGAACTCAGAAGGGAGGCAAAAGGAACAGTCAGAAATCTTCCCGGGTGGCTGATGAGCAGCTGACAACGTGGCTTTGTGGTATATCTCTTACACATCTTAGGGCTTCCAGCAGATCCTGGAAACTGCTGAATGTATCATCAAGTTTATATGTTGATTTAATTCATTTATTAAAGTGGTTTCTCATTGCGAGTTCTAAAAGGTGCTTAGTGTAACAGTTAATGAGCTGAGGCTGCAAAGAGGAAGGTTGCGTGAAGGAAGGCCAAATTAATGCTAAACTGAAAAGCTGTTTTTGAGGGATTGTCGAATGGTGCATGTGCTTGTTTTTTAGATACCATGTAATTTAATTGGATGCTTTGTGCGGGATTATTGATAGACATTTCAATTATCTCTAACTATGTGTTTTCAAAAGATGATGTGGGGTTAAAACTTTCATTTTTTTAAATGGGTGCCAATTACTACTATTAGCTTGGTTTTTGAAAACCCCTAGTGTTCTAATACTGTCTTCCAGTCTTATTTACTCACCCTATGTTCTGTCCTAAACTGAAGCTAAGTCATGTAATTTCATTATCTCAGGTTTTAGTAGCCACATGCTGGTCAATTTATACTCGTTTTTCTCTATGATTATTGATAAAGTAGATTAAAAATCTGTCTAATAAGAGTTAATTAAGAAGAAAGACAAGACTTGTCCTCCTTGGAGCTTGTTTAGCAAAAGGCTGGGCATGCATAATTTGATAGTCACCAATATGAATATGGTTAAATTTGTAATAATTGTCTTATGTGTATCAGGATACTTATATAAAGTAAGGATTATGTCATCTTGTACCCTTAATATAATATTCAAGGTTCTGATAACATAAGCTGTCTTTTGGGAAAGCTGGATTTATAGATTCCCACAAACCTGAAGATGTTGTCATGTGATTTAAAAGAAAAAAAAAATTGAGGTTTGACATATTCTTTTTTCTTTTCTCCTCCTCCCTCCCCCATGCTTATCCCCTTTGTCCTTGCTTAGAACTCATGCCTTTCCCTGCCCCTGGAATTTTATAGCTGATTCTCTAAAACCTATTGTGAAAGAAAACCTATTGTGGTAAATTGGATGCACAAGATGATTTAGCATTCCCTATCCATATATGCAAGTTAGTTGGGATAAATTGCTCTGTGGTTGACTTTTCATCATCCAGCAAGGACCTGACACTATGTAAGAAACTGATAATCTGGGGTGCTAAGCAGAAGGGGTGCTTCTGCAGGGGACTTTCAAAGTTCATCTAGCAGAAAAAGAGATGTAGTCCTTATTGCAACAGAGAGCCAAGATTGCATCAGAGTGGCAAATGTTAAAGTTCTGGTGTTTGATAAGCCCTCGTGGTCCTGTTCATGGGAGGACGGAATTAACTTCTTTATATAAAATATGTATATCTATAGCAACCAGCACATGCATTAGATTAACAGTCTTCATGATTTTTCAATTCATTCAATTTTCAGTGAATTCTTACCTAACTTTTGAAAATAAGTGTGAACGGCTTCCATTTCAGGATTCCCCTCTGAACTGAAGCTAGACCTCCGCTAGGAAAAACTTATAGATGTCAGTACATCAGTGTTCCTGGCAGAAGCTAACAGTTTAAGTACAGTTCATGCTCATAGCAGAGGCCTTCTGAGTTTTCTCAGCTGAGAGAAGGGCTAGAAAAGCATTTTGATGTTGGCATAACTATGGACATGAGTCCTTGCTTGTATAGGAATGTTAACTGCACCCCAAAGTGATAGGAACTTTGCACAGATTAGCATTAGGACAGGTCAAAATCTAGCTAGATGTCTGCTAAAACTTTACTGCTGTGTTTGTAACTCCAAGAATAGTTCTTGTGTGTGCATGAATAACGAGCTTTTAAAAATTTATGTGCTGAAAGTCAGGAGACTTCTAAGTCCCATGCCTTTTCCATCAAGACTAGAGTGTGAAACATCCTTCATGTCAGTCTGCTAAGATGCAAGGGATACAAGTTGTTAGGTAGGTGCGGCGGAGTTGCACTGAAGGGTATCTGCCAGTGACAGATGCTTCCTTGTTGTATGATCTTGCTCTTGAATCCTCCCTCCTTTCTGTCCCATCCAGGTGTATTTCTTGCGATATCTTTGCTGCTTTTCTTGTTGTCTTGTTGGTCTCTTTATTTATTATTTTTTCCTTTTCTGACTGATGTTTCTCTGGCATTTTATTCTGTCAGATGTTTCCCTTGTCATCTTTCCATCTCTATCATTGAAAGTTTTCAGGCAACATCATTTAAGCCTTAAGCAGTGAGCAGAACATTGCTTTTCAGGCAACATCATTTAAGCCTTAATAAGCAGTGAGCAGAACATTGTGATATCCAGTGATATTCTCTCCCATCATACACAAGGGCTGAGAGAAGCACTGGAATTGGGGTTAGAACAGTTTCTCTGGACTCTGTTCTGGGATCCAGCTTTATTTCTGTATATACAACACATGATTTTTGTTGCATTCAAAAATTCATTTTTGGAAAGTTGAGGAATTTGGCTCTTTTCTTGTTCTCTTAAGTGTTGAAATCCTGAGTTGAGGAATTTGGCTCTTTTCTTGTTAAGTGTTGAAATCCTATTCTTCCACTATTTCAGTCTCAATGCAGCTTTGGAGGCTTGGGTGGGATTTATACCTCCTCTGTTTGTATCTTGTCATCCATATAAAAATAAGTTTTGTAGGGTGTGTTTTAAGCCTCAGCTTTGGAGGCTTGGGTGGGATTTATGTCTCCTCTGTATCTTGTCATCCATATAAAAATAGGTTTTGTAGGGTGTGTTTTAACCCCTCCAGATTTCATCTCTTCATTCCTTTCCAGCTAGTATCTTTGGGGTTTTGTTGGCCCAGTGCTTTCCCAGAGAATGGCAGGCTGGTATGCCTGGCCATCACGCCTCCAACGGCATCCCTAGAATATTAGGGTAAAGGAATTAAGCTGTCTGTGAGGCTAGTGTATTTTCCACTTGCTGTGGTAGCAACTGAGGAGCTGAACAGGCTGTGAACACTGACTGGATATTTGTATTTGAAGAAAGCAAATTGCATCCTACAGGAATAAGATTTGGGATTCTCGATGAAAACTGTTGCAGAAGGTGATGGTCTTCCATGATGCAGCAGAGTGACTTTAGAGGCTAGTAGAAATGGGCAGTGGGATGGATCCTCCTCTCAGTACTGATTATAATTAGTTTGATGTAGGAATCTGTATATGGCAATAAAGGGGTCTGATCCTTTCCTGTAAGGCTGAATGATCAGATTCCTGGCTTCCTGGTCTTGTCCTCTCTTCCACCTTTTATTTAATTGGCAGAGGGGACACTCCACTTAACTCCTTTTTATTTAATATTTGCCACGTGTGGTGCTGCGTGCTTGGTTGCCAAATGCTTTGCTGTTAGTACTTGCTAGAAATGACTACTTTATTGGTCCAGTGAACTCAGAGGCTTTTTTATTTTACATGTTTGTACTTTTTTTTTCTGGTATATTTAAAGGATTCCTAGACGAAGTTATGAAGAAATATGGCAGTTTAGTTCCACTCTGTGAAAAAGATGTCTTGGGAAGATTAAAAGAAGTCTTTAATGAAGATTTCTCTCATAGGTGTGTAGCAGTAACATTCTAGCCTTTGTGAAGGAAAAATTGCTTGCATTGCTGATGAGTGCTCCGTCTGGAAGCCCTCCTGGAATACAAGTCCATTTGGTGTGACCTTGATACTAACTTATTTCTTTTTACCTCTTCAATCCTCTTTTAGAAAACCTTTTATCACCAGGGAAATCATGAAGTATCGGGAAAAACATCCAAAATCCTCCACTTGCAATTTCCGGGTCTTCTATAATAAGCACATGCTAGATATGGATGATTTAGCTACACTGGAAGGCCAGAACTGGCTGAATGACCAGGTTAGCGATGGTTGGTGTTTTTGTCGTTCTTTACCCCTTTTTGGCCCTTAAATGTTATAGTATCAGTACTCACCTACTGCTGCATCATACCCAACAGCTCTACTTTACACTTGAGAAACAAGAGGAAGCAGTGAGGGCTTTTTAGGGGCAGGTGCAATAAAAGTGATTAGAGGTCTGGAAGACAGGAAGTATTACAACTAAATCATTTCCTTTTTGAGAAAATGATGCACTATTTAAGAAAATAATGGTTACCCATATGCATTAAAGTGTCCATTCCTCCCTCCCTGCCCTTAGTTTAATGTAAGAAAGGCAGAATACAAGAGCAGCAGAGTGAAACAGCAGGCTGTGGCCTGTAGCCAAGAAAGCAAGAAGGTTGCAGTGCCCAGGACATGCACTGCTAAACTAAATTGAATTAAACTCTTTCAAATTGAGGCAGCCTTCAAGCAGCAAGTTACACAGTCTCTCTCCTGGCATGCTATTACTACTTCCAGAGTGCTTGTCCTCCAGACTATAGCAAAAAGTTACTATAATTGCTCACCTTCTTACTACTGTTTATAGTGTGAAAAGTCCTCCTTTTTGTGGAAGCTTGTGAATTTTAGTCGTAAAAAATTATTCTGTACATATTTAAATATCTACTAACTCTTGCAGATAATTAACATGTATGGTGAACTCATAATGGATGCAGTCCCTGAAAAGGTGAGGGTTTTTGTTTTTATGCAAATGTGACTAATGAAAGACTGACTGGGGAAGGTGAAATACAGAATATTTTGGATACAAGTCCAAGATTATCTCAAAATGATGTGCCATGTGGTTTGATTGCAGTATAAATGACACCCTTTTTGCTATCTGCAGCTCAAATTTTGTATCCTTACTGCACTAAAATAGCTTTCAGATCCGTTGCGGTTATTTCAGGAGATTGCTGGGGTAGCCTGCAAGTGTCTGCCTTGGTAGCCTTGTGTTACTGACCTACCTTTGGAAGGCAGGTGCCCTGCTTTGCCTCCCCCATCCCTCACCTCTCCATTAAGGTTTCTACCTCCAGTGTAGCTGCTTCTGAAATGTTTGTCTGTGCCCTGGTTCACAGTCCAGTCTTAGAGGAAATTTCCCCTGAAGTTGCATCTCTGCTGTGAGGGCAGGTCACATGGTGGCACCTAATCCTTGCTGCCTGCCAGCTGTGGGGCAGTAACAGTCACAGCTCAAACAGCGGCCTGGCCAGTGCATGTGAATTAACACGTAGCTGCTCCCTTCCTCAGCAGTGTTGACTTTGCAGGACTTTACTGGAATTTGTGCATTCTTAACAGAATGCTAACTGCTTTCACATTGCAATGGCTCTATCTGTTGCTGGTAGTACATAGGAAACTTAATAAATAAATTGCTTCACCTTCTGTGCCTTGCACTTGCAGCAGTGGCAATTATAAAGAACCATCTGTTTACTAGCAGAGCTGAACAATTTTCAGGTGAGACCACAAAGGAAGAACCAAGCCAAGCCATTTTTAGATCAGCTCTGCAGAATGTAATGCTTAAAATATCTGAGCTCAGAAGAAAGAGCACTGCTGCTTTGATTGGTGTTGATGGTGATTCTTCATTAATATTCTGTGTACTTCCTGAGCGTGAGCTAGGGTAGAGGTATTGGAGATTGTATCTGTTTGCTTGTGCCTGCTTTTTTTATACTGCATAATTGAAATCCTCCCGGGAGATCTAGTGCTAGTGCCCCTGAATGTGGTTTTGAAGTCTGTTGGCATAGCTAATGGGTGTTAGTCTGCCTTTTCAGATGTGAATTCTCTTAACTTTTTTCAAGTAATAACTCAAGACTTCTACCACCTCTGCTCTTGCAGAATTATTAAAAACAGATGTTGCAGGTTTGCATTTGTATTAATCTGTTCCTGTAATTGCCAGAAGCTAAGCATGGGGGATAATAGTGTTAACCTGGAGCTACATTTTTTTTTTAATACAAGCCTACAGTCTTTTGCCATAAACGCAGGTTTTTAGTTATTCTCAGAACAGATGTGGTAGAACTTAAAAATGCTTTTAACTAACAGAATATTGCTTCTGTCTGAAGTCTGGAGCTGGCTATGGTAGTTGAATACAAATGATCACATTGGATTAAATCTCATACCCTTTTGATCAAAAAAATTATTTTTGAGTCTTACAGCTTTTCTCAACTGAAAGCAGAAGTTATTCCCTTGACTACCAGCCCCCTTCCCCAGCCCAGTGATCTCTTCCTTAATCTCTGGAAAGGAAAGAAAAACAAAAGTTGCAGCTCCTTATCCTGGTGTTCTTCTCCCCAGCCTACCCTCAACAAAAGATCAGACACGAATATGCCTGCAGATATCAAAGTGTAAATAGAAATGCTGCAGTGATTTACATCCCCTGTTATGGGGCAGCAAGCCTTGCTCTATCTGTTCTCCAAAGAACAGCAAAAGTTGGGGCTTGGTAAAGCATCTGTAGTGCTGTTTGTCCCTATTGGGGTTCTGTTTCTAAACCTGCATCAAATATTGCCTCATTAAAAGTTGTTTTGTCTAAGTTATCCTTGGGGAGAGGGAATGATTATGCATGAAGATTTCTGTGCTTATTCCTCCTCTCTCTCTTTTTTAGGTTCATTTCTTTAACAGCTTTTTTCATAGACAGCTCGTAACCAAAGGATATAATGGGGTAAAACGATGGACTAAAAAGGTATCCTTTAATTCCATGTAGCTCTGATTCTTTTGGGTGGGTTAAACCATGACCTTGGAACTGGGAACGCTGTTATATGCAAAGGATGGGGTTAGGAGCTGTGCAAAATGGGGTGATGTTAAAAGCCCCAGCACAGTGGTACTGCTTGGGTTAGTGTGACCATGTTCTGAAAACCTGTTTTGGGAATGGCTGTATCCTAGGTGGTGGGTTAACTTCTTGGGTGTCTTCATGCAATGTGTTTTAGTGCCTAAACTGTCTCTTGCTGCTCTTGACAGTGCCCAGTGCACTAGTCTACAGAAGTTCAGGCTTAATTCTGATTCCTTTTTATCTCAGGCTGGAATCATTTGATAAAATTAAATTATTACTGCTGAGTTGACATGTACAGGTACTAGAGAGCAGAGATAAGAGCAATAGTGAATAGGCCAAAGTGTTGTTTGTATGAGGATAAGGAGAAAATTCACTTTGTTTTCCAGAATTTATGCAGTAAAATGATTATATGATGGTTGTGATACTTTACTGGGGCAGCTATAGTACAAAGAGCACTTTTTCTGTGAACATTTGGCCTTTCTAATATGGGAGATGAGACACCACTAATCAAGAATCACATCTGAATGTATGATCTTTTTGCAGAAGCACTTAAATAGCACACATCTGTGAAATGCTAGAGATAAACTCAATATCCAAATATAAAACCTATTCATATAATTTATTAAAATCTCCTTAAAGAGACACTAAATCAAAGCATATTTTATTGGTGCTTATTACTGGTGGATTTTAAAAAAGAAAACCGTTTTTTCTCTGATTTTGGAAAGCAGAACTTGTGTTCATATTGCATGTTTGCTGAGGAGTGTCCAGGTGTGGACAGGACAGTTATTTAAACTGCTGTGAAGTCTCCTCTCTAAGCCCTTCCCACTGGGAGGGTGCAGGTAGACTGCTTCCTCTTGCAGTATGCAGTTAAGAGGAAGCTTCAACATGAGTATTTCATGAGGCTCTATAAATGCATTACACTGTCTGGGACAGAGCCCAGAAGGATGTGTCCTTGTGCATCTGCATGAAGTGGTGTCAAAGCCGCTGTTCGTCCGTGTCTGCTCGGGCGCTGCTGGGCTCGGCCTCCTGCTCCCGTTCCCTGTCGCGCTGGCTCGCGGGCTCGGTGCGCTCTGGGTGCAGTGACTCTAGGCTGCCACAGCCTTTTTGCTACACCACGTCTTAGTTAAGACACTTGCATCTTTTGGCTGCCTCTTTCCATTTGTTTCTGCTAAAGGTTTGCACCCCTGCAGCAAGCTCAAAGCCTGAGTCACAGGAGGCTCCTTGAGTTTAGCTTGGCCCTGCTGTTGCTGCACATCAGACTGCATCAGCGTAGTTCATTTGTCTTACTTGAGTTTTCTTGCTGCTAGCTGACATCTTCCTGCTTCTCCTGCTTGAGCATGATGGATTGCTGTGTGCTAAGTGTGCTGTAAGCTGGGCAGGAAGCGGTTTCTGCAGGTGGGAGCAGCCATAGTAGGTGCCTGTGACAATCACCTGTGACAAAAACCTTCTGTTTCCTGTTGTTAGTCACAAAGAGTTGTTGTTTTTTGTTTTCTTTTTTTGTGAATGGCCTAGCTTGTAGCAGTGCTGCAGCAATTATGCAGCGTTCAAATTTCATAGTACTTAAAAAAGGCAGTGCAGAAATCTTTTCCCTCAGAGGATTTCCTCTCTTTCTGTGTCCTGTGTCTGTACCACTGAAACCTCAGCAATTAGATCTGTTTAGAGGCACTATGAGCAAGAAGATTCTGGAAGGCCCTGGTTTATGACTAACTTCCAAGGTGTAACAGGGCTCATCTGCACAGACGCTAGGGGTGTTGCATCTCATCCTCCTTGTTCTGTGCTTCAAAACCTCCCTGGTCTCTTCCAAGATTCAATTCAGCAAATCATGAATCTCTGTGCTGCCTTCACCCGTCTCCCTTCCATTGGCTACCAAGGCACCTTGTGGTGCTCCCCTGGCAGTGACGTAGCCTGCCTTAAGCAGAGGGAGTCAGCAAACTGCACCAACTCGCTGTGTTTGTGGGGAGTTCTTAATCACAACTGCTGAATCTGTCACTGTCTATGATGCAAATCTGCTGTAAGTCAGTGGTGTTTGCACTGCCAGGATGTCATTACAGGAGATAAGCGACTGACCAAACTTGAGCCCGGGTTGTATCACCAGCATTGCTTAATACAAGCCCCACTTCACCCCAGGCTTCCAAGTGTGACACGAGCAGCCTTTGCTGCAAATACAGTGGTCACTTAGCCTGGTCCTGTGCAATGCTCCTTAGGTGGGTGCACAGATAGACTGTAGCTCTGTGTTTGTGCCTGCTAATGAGCTATGTGAAACGTGAAGAATGTCTTGCAGCGCAGGGTGAAAAAGAAGACTAGCTAGGGGTTGCTGAAGATGGATACAGTTTCTGTTGTGCTTTCCTGCCCATGGAATTGTTTCTAACGTATATTGTTGTTTTTGCCAGGTGGACTTTTTCAAAAAGGCTCTCTTGTTGATTCCTATTCACCTGGAAGTCCACTGGTCCCTCATTACTGTGAACATCCCCAATCGAATTATTTCATTTTATGATTCCCAAGGCATTCATTTTAAGTTTTGTGTAGAGGTAAGAGTGACAGCTGTCTGTAAAGTTTCAACTGCTTTCTTAAAAACGAACAAGACCTTTGTCAGCGTGTCCTTAAAGTTTAAATTCAGTGTGTTTTGCTGTTGTCCTGCCATGTATGAAATGAGCTAGCTTGCTGTGACAAGGAGGAGTCTGATGAATGGACCTAGAGCGTTGTAGAGTGAATCCACAGCAGACCTGGGAGTTGAGGGCAGATTGCCTATTGCCTAAGTAGCCTGACTGTATAATTGGCACATGTTTTGTTGCTCTGTCTTGTCACTCCCACAAAAGACAGGGTCTCAAAGCAGAGTGACATAAGGAAGCACACTAGTTAAACAAGAGTGGAAGCAGCTCTAGAAACAGTAGCAGACTTCTGGGTTCAGGAAACTATAAATCTTGGCCCTTCCTAGGGGAGGGTGCCTGACAGAGAGCAGGACTGAAGAGGCTGTAGTGCTGCCCAGTGTGCTTTACCTGTTACTGGGCTGTTACTGTTGCCACTTATTATACCCCAGCAACCTTTTGAAGCTGTTACCTGAATATTGGAGTTAAAGCATCAGTCTTTCTGGTAAAGAGCAGTCAGGAAGCTTTTGCTGGGGCTAGCAAAGCATAATGACCCTCTTGCAAAGGCTAATTTTGTCAACTTAATTGCCTGCTGGATGCAGCAGCCCTCTATTTTATGTGTGTGCGGTTGTTGGTTTACAACAGAGTAGTAATTATTGTACCCAGGAGAGCTCACAGCTAGGACATCTGAATGGAGATACTTGTTCCCTGCTGGCATTTGCTGAAACTTGTGTTTGAGCTGGGAGTGAGTGGTCTAATGCTCTTCGGCTTCTGAACCTGTTGCATGAACCAAGGCTCCCTCTTATCAGCACTAGAGCCTCTCCTGCAGGTTTTCAGTGTGGTCGGTCCCATCCCTCTCTGGGCTAGGGATTTGCCCTTAGTTGTCTCTCAAACACAAGACACTTGTTCCTGCCTTTTCTGGGGGTGAGGGTGTGAAGACACAGACTGCCCTGTGATGCATAGAACTAAGGTGCATCTGGGTGTGCTGGAATGCATTTAGACTGTTGTATTAAACACTAGCCTACTTACAGAAAAGTAGAAGGATATGCTTAACACGAGACCAGAGGTTCATTTACCTTCCATCTCTTTTTCCCTTCACTTGTCAGACGTTTTTCCTGTATGTCACTGAAATGCTCCCTGGAGCTTTTTCGATTAGCTGCAGAATGCTAAGCTTTTTGTAGTGAGAGCTGAGCTGAAAGTGCTGTTACCCTGATGTAAGGGCCTTGGTGTTGGGTGAATGAGTCAGGAAAAACATGTGCTGGGCCATGCAGTGTCTCATACCCCAAAGAAGAATCTCTCCATCTTAGTGGTACTTCTAGTGCAGTATTAAGTACACCAGTGTACAGGGGGAATGAGAAATGTTAAAGTTCCCTTGAAAGACCAGGATGAGCTTTGATGGTGGAAGGTGCAGTCCCCCCCAGAGTTATGTCCTTACCTCCAGATCTGAGCTCAGCTCCCTATACTTAGCGCTCACCTGAAATTCATCCTCACTGTCGAATGGGTGCTAAGGAAGATGTCACTGTCTTTCTCCTGTGCTTTAACTGGTGAATAATATTGTTCCTCTTTAATCTCCTTTTAAAGAACATTAGAAAGTATCTGCTGACTGAAGCAAAAGAGAAGAATCGCCCTGAGTTTCTTCAGGGTTGGCAGACTGCTGTGACAAAGGTAAGTGCCAGCACCTGAAGCCCTGCAGTTGAACCTTCTGGGAGACTCAGGAACACTGTTTCTGAACTGGCATATCTTTGCAAGAAGGAAATAATTTTATTCTGACTATAGGGAGGGTGATAGGAGCTACACAAGTGGCTACCCAAGCTAATTAGTACTCTGCTCATTCAGCTCCCATCAGGTCTTTTAATACTTTCTGTAAGTGACTTAGTGATCTGAGCCTAATCTCTAGTCAGTTAAATACCCATGCTGCCAAACCTGTAGCTGTTGCCTGTGTTGGCACAAGGTCAAGGGCTGAATGAGCTGGAGACTCAGCTTCCTGACTTCTGCAGAAGGGACTGTCCCACATCATGCAAAATAGGTGGGATTTGGTGAGGGAGCAAATGGGCTAATGTTGTTACTGCCTGTATTTTATATTCTCAGTGGATAGAGGGCTTTGGTCTTCCAGGCTCTGTGGCACATTTTGATCACAAGTAAACAAAGCCTGGCAGCAATAAAAAGGAACAACTTGTATGTAGTGCAAATGAGGGATTCTGTGATTTGCGTAACCCTCCCATAGTGGCTTCAAAGATATAAACAGGTCACTGCACACTAGACACAGTCCCAACAGCTCCCTGCTTGCGCAGAGTTATTTTTAAGTGCAATAGTGTGATACAACGATTAAATGACTTCCCTGCACACTCACGCACACTTTGCGTGGTCAGTTTGTCCTCTTCCATTCTGTCAAGTGGGTGATCTTGCGGGCTGAGGAAAATTGCTTTTCCCCTTTGAGTGCTAGAGACGCAGTAACACTAGTGAGCAGAGTTTTTTAGTGCTGCATATCAAATTGAGCACATTGGAAGAAATTAAGGTTGAAAGTTACTGTTTGGGGTTGCCTCAGTCTTGCCAGCCCTTTCCTTCTGAGATCCTTTGGTGTGGCTGGGAGAGGAAAGCTGCTGCCAGGAGCCGGGCTGCTGAGAATAGTCGTCTAGGCCTGTGTGACTTTGCTGATGTAGTTTGGTTCTGTGTAAAGCAGAGAGTGCTATACAAACATTTATTTAAACTAATTGAACAGCTGTTCTGCATAGGTCGCTAAAAGAAAATAAACTTGAAAGAAAGATCTGTAATTTGTTTTCTGTCCTACATCATATATTTTTCTAAATGTTAGGTGTTACTAACAAGGTGCTGAGTGTCACCTTGCAAAATCAGGCTCGGAATAAGTAATTGCGACTGTGGCTTCTTGTGCTGCAGAACAAGTTAGCTCTGAGAACAAAGACCCCTAATCTTTTTGCAAGATCTCATCCTGGATTTTAAATAGGACTTAGATTTTTAGCTGCCCTTTAATTTTCTAACATAGTGCTTCATGCTTTTTTCCCTTCTAGTGCATTCCACAACAGAAAAATGACAGTGACTGTGGGGTTTTTGTGCTCCAGGTAAGTGTACTTTGAAAAAAAAGAATTGAGTGGCCTGTATTGTTCATCTTGTAAACTTATTTTTTTCAATCAAGCCTTTTCCTTTTTCTCAGTACTGCAAGTGCCTCGCCTTAGACCAGCCTTTTCAGTTCTCCCAGGAAGATATGCCCAGAGTGAGAAAAAGGATTTACAAGGAGCTGTGTGAACGCCAGCTAATAGACTAATGAAATACAGTCCACCAGTTTCTCTAGTATTCCTGACAAGCTGCGGCTGGTGTTGGTGTACTTGAATTTCTGAAAACTTCCATGGATTTTGAGTGACTCTCAGCTGAGTGGTGTGGCCACTGTTGTTACCTCAACTTTTTCTGACAAGCTCTTTACCTGGCAGAATGTAACAGAGCTGCCGCAAAAATATTTCTAATGTCTGTTTTGTTCTCTTATGTTCTTTCCTGTATTTAATATTTATTATCTGAGCATGCGTATAGGCAAAGCATGCAACTAAAAACATAAAACTGTAGATTTGGTGCACCTTTGAAACGTAGCTAGAAATGACAAATACAGGTGAATTTGTCTGGAAACATAAAGATGCATGATCTGTTTTCTGATGCAATAATGCTTTGAATGTATCAAACTCGATGCCATAAAAAGAACAGCTAGAAGCTATTCGATTATTCCATTTTTTTCCCCATTGTGGCTGTATAATACTGAATTGCCACTCTCTTTTAGGGTGGTAAATTCATCTAAAGATTTGATTTGTGGAGTCCCCTTTTTTAAATAGTTCAAGTTGCTAATAAAAACATTGTTCTGTTAACATTTATCCAGCTGTCACTATCAGCCTGTCTCTACATAGATGAAAAGCAGCCTTTGCACAAATAAAGCTTCAGCATTTGTCTGTATAATAAAAAGTACAGAGATGTTCGGCCAGTCTGATAGTATATTCCTGTGTGCTGCAGAAGTTTCCGTGACATGTGTATTAAGGGCATTACAAAGCTGCTCCTGAAGTGTCAGTTGAGATGCCAAGATAAAACCATTTAAATCTCAAATGGTTTTGAATCACTTTCAGTTCCACGATCTTAATCAAAATGTTCCATTTCAACATCTTTCACTTCTGTCTGCAAATCAATTCTCTTACAGCTTGTTGTCTTTACCATTGGCTTTTGCCTTTGGTCATATATGAATTGATTCATTTCTGCTGCATCTGCTATGTGATTGTCTCAAGCATCTCTAGTTTGTTTCTGTTCAGTTATGGGGATGGCTCTTTGGGCACAACAGCACTTGTGGTGGCTGCTCTGCAAACTCCCCAAACCGGCATCATTCTGCTGCAGTGGTGCTGCACACGTGAAGGAGGGCAGCAGATCTTGATGCTTAATTGTGGCTTTCCTCTGTAAGCTGTGCTCTCCTTCCTGAAGAGAACTGGTTTTGTTTGAAGGGACTGCTGTATAGGATTGCTCCACCAACAAATGTCTTCACCTTTGTTTCTCTGCCAGTTAAAGGGCTGAGCCCAGGGGAATATTATTTTTCAGTGCTAAATATCATTCATTGCACTGGTTCACCTAGTGTCTAGCAATAGGCTTGACTTCTGGAAGAGGACACTGTCTTTTCCCTCTGTCTTGCAAAGGAATTCAGGCTTGAGCAAAGCTGGGTGCAAATCCCTCTTGGCTTGCTGGAGGGAACAAGGAGAAAGGAGAGAGTGCCAAGTGTAGCCAGGCTAGGAAGGAAAGCACGTGCACAATGAGTTGTGCTGGAGAAGTGAAAATTTAATCTTGGGATGTAGTGTCTGAAGTGCTAAGCTAAAGCATGTGAGTCACTACTGCCTTTTTCTTGTTTCCTTCTGCCAAGTGAACTGGTCCAGATCAAAACGGAGCCAACCAAAACGCTGCTCTTAATTCAAGCATTCTAGACCCAGTCTGGCTTGTCACTAAATGTTTGTACCAGCACAAATGAGGAGGGAGAATGGAGTGGCCAGGAAGATGCATGAAAAAAGTGCCAAGTTTGGATGTGTGAGTGAAGTTGTGTCCTCAAGCAAGTCTTACTATAGAAAGGGAATGAAATGTAGAAGGAAAACTGCATGAACGTACTTTTGTTACCTCCTAAAAGTAGGAAGTTTGGTAAGGAAGCACGGATGACTGGGAGCATCTCAGTGACTCCAAGGAAGCCCATTCTTTTTCATAGAAGAGGGGCATTGCTAATGGGCATTTATTCTTTGCAGGGGTGTGTGTTGGAGCATTGAACCACAAACAATCCTTTCCTGAAACTTGCTGCCTACGTGGTAGGGATCTGACTTTCCTCCTTTATGTGAGAAGCTTGAAGAAGTCTTAAATCTTGATCCTATATCAGTGACATCAGCAAAAAGGACATTGTTTCTGCAAACTTTATTTAACAGTGTAGATTTAACAATGTAGATATTTTGAAATGACTTCATATGTGTATCAGATCGCTTGAGGGGACGGGGCCTTGCATTTACATCTGCTGCAATGTGAGCTAGGGAACTGAGTGGAGAAGGATGCATGTTAAAAAGTGCTCCTTATTTGCTTGCTTGTCAGCTAGATGTTTGCTAATAAGCATTTCAGTTGGTTATGGGGCAGTGTAGAGAAGTTGCACTCGAGTATCCAGCTGTGAACATGCCAGTGAGCGGCCTCTGGGGAAAAAGAAGAGAGGGGGAAATTGAAAACAGAGCTAATGTAAGCAAAGTGCGTTGGTGCAGGGCTGCACTTAATCAGAGGCAGTGAGGATCTTACCCTCAGTAATGATGTATCCTATGAAACTGGACTAATTAACTCATCCTTGAGAATGTCTTTGATGCCTTTAAGGAGATGGACTCAATAATGTGTAGTCATTTGACTATTTCTTAAAGCATTCAGAACTATGTAGAGTGTTTTTATTATAGGAGGCATATTTATGTGGATGTAGTTACGGCTATTAGCAAATCCATTAATGTGATATTCAGAATTTCATAAGCACTGTAAACTGATTTGGCTGATGCTTAAATTTCATGACTTGTTCTGAGGGATTGTCTAGCCAGGCTGGATTATACAAATAGTCCCAGAACTAGTAAAGCCTCCATTTCATGTGACGTATTTAAGCTACTTGAGCTCTAATAAACCTTAAACAAAATTGAAAATAAATTATGAGTTTCTATTTTCTGTTTGCTTTAATCTATAGTTTAAAATGACCGTGCAGCTGATATAAATCAAAGAAATGCAAAGCTTGGCCTTGATTCTGCAAGGTAGGTTATGTCTGTTCTTAAGCCTTTAGATGCTTTGCAGAGTGGAGACAGGGCTTTCATGCTATCCGATGTACTGTTGCTCCGTTCTCACCTGGCCCTTTTGAGTGTAAAGCTAATATTTTCCATGTTTGTCTTGCACTGATTAGCAGAGCTAAAGAGGCTTGCAGAGTGTCACTGACCTGCGTTGAATCTCTAACATAATGGTTAGCTTATCTTGCCTTCCTCTGAGTTCTTGACTGGCATTTCCAACTGTAGCATTCGTTGAAGTTAATGTGAAAACTTAAACCTTGGGAAGTGACGTGGACTTAGCTCCTCCAAGCAACAACTGTGTTTTGTGGGTATGTTCTTGAATCAAATGAAACCCCTGTTCCTGTGGTAATAAACTGAGTAATAAAACCGAGTTTCACCATAAACCCTATATTTTTTTCAGCAGTTTGCTTTCTTTTTAATTTTAAAAGCTTTTAATGTGATGGTTGAGGGAATGTTTATAGCTGCTTGTTTGGGATCTGTTGTTAGGAGAAGCCTCTCCAGTTGATTAGTTCGATAGCTCTGAAGCACACGCTGACGACGCCTTCTGTTCCGTCGCGCTGCAGGGATGGAACTTGCTGCCGTTTGAGCTGTGACAACATACAAGGCTGGAGATGTCACACGTTGCATAAATAAGGGTGGAAATCTTGCATTAGACGCTTCCTACTAAGGTGGCATTTAAAAAAACACAGATGTCTCAACAGAACAGGTAGGACTTAAATTGCTTTTCTAGATCAAACTAAATTAATGCCCTTGCATTGCTTGTTAATTTAGTTATGTAATTATAGAGTTAAATCTTTGCTGAATTATACAAAGCTATACAGCTTGTGAATTTGTGATAAAAGGGGGACTGAAGGCTTAGGGTATGTCTCTTTAAGCTATTAATCATGAGACTAGCAACATCATTGCCTTTATTACATTCATAATTTAAAAATCTATCATGGAGGAGGGAACATGGTTGCTTGTTAAATATATTCTTTCAGTAGGAAGTGCTAAGGAATCAGATCATTAAAATACAAAATCATAAGAGACACCAGAGCCTTGCCAGGAACAATAATTACTATTTATATGTAATAGGCATTGGGAGGGAAGGATGAGTCTGGTTTGCCTGTGCCTGAACTTAATGGATTCTATGACTAACCCACTAGAAGGATTTAAGGATTGAATTTAGTTTTCTGAGCATGTAGTATTACAACCTATAGAGCTAAAAACTGTTGCAAACTGAGTGAAATATCTTGAAATAAAGTAATTTAGTTTCCCTGAACACAAGTAAATAGAACATGTGCAAAGTAGCTTCCACTGCTGCCTGAAATTCTGATGAATTCTTAATTTTTGTATTGGATTTCAGCTATGATAGTAACTCATCTCCCCTAACGTGGTGCTTTCTCCAGCTTCCAGATGCTTCTGAGGAGCCTCAGACATCACCTGTCGCTGAGGTTACCTGGGCCTCACTGTGGGGGAGCTCTGGGAAGTGCCTGAGTTGAAGGGATGGAAAATCCATTGGGAAATCCGTTCCTCCCTTTCCCCCTCAAGTTAAATGCATCAGAGGGGGAAGGGCAAGGGAAAAACTGCCCTTTAAGTGAGATGTAGTCAGCTGGATGCCATGGGTTGGGTCATGTTGATTGTGTGTCTTGCTGCAGAGGAGGAGATGTCATTATTATGGGAACCTTTGGGAAGAGGGATTGAGAAGGCTGGAGAGGAGACTCCAGCTTCGGGGGCTGTGGCCATGCAGGTAGTGCGTCTGGTTTCAGGTGCCTGCGTTTTGGACCAGCTCAGTGCAGGCAGCAAGTGCAGCTGAAGAAGAAACTCCCTCCGCAGCGCTGGGCTGAACTCCCCTTCCCTTAAGGTGATGTTGGCTTGGCCTGTCCTCACCCTGTCTGACGGGTTTGGGCCATGCAGAGCTCACAGGGGTGCTCCTGCCTCCTACAAGCACCGGCTGCTCCGGAGGCTCTTCCAGAACACCCTTCAGCTGGTGTTAAAATGTACCTGCAGTGTATTGTCATTCAGAAGAGCTGTCTTTGGAGGGCTGCTTTTGGTTTGGCAGGCTGAAACGCCGCCGCTTCTCACGCAATTAGTCTAAGAAGGTGATTTTTAAGCACTGCTATTAGGGCAGAGAACAGGCTTCAGGGCAGGTATTCGGCAGGGTTTGGGGTTTTGCCCTCCAGTGGGTCGCACATCAGCTGAACAGATTTCTCTATGTTGTAAAGTTGAGAAAAAAAAAAAAAACAACTCTGGAAAATGCTTAAAGTTTCATGCTAATGAAACTCAATGCCTTGCATTTATCACTGCTTAGGATTCTTCTAGACATTTGGTTGTCCCTAGATAACATAACCCAGTCTTTAAAGGTGACGTGTATCTACTCTGAGAGGACCAGTGCATCTGGAGTGCAAGATGTTCCTGGGGAACTTTTAGGTTCCCTTCCAAAAAAATCGCTATTTGATTATTCTGCAAGAATCTGCATCATAACCTGAGCAGGCAGGTCCCAATGAAGCTCTCGCTAGGGCTGTAGCTCACAGCCCTCCATGTGTCTGAGGGGGAGGGTGCTCTGGGTGTAGCGGCAGTCACGTTGTTCTTCCCGGTGTACTTTTTTGACCAGCAGATGTCACGCAAACACCGTAAAAATAGCGTGTGCTCCGGGGCTGAGCTGAGGGATCGGCAGCGGAATGATGTCTTCTGATTGCGTGGTGCCTGCCACGTTGGGAACTATTCTTGCATGTTTCTCAGCAAAATGTGCACCACACTTGGAAGAAGAATGTGTCTGTTCGCACACACGCACACCCCCTTTTCACTGTCCATGAAACCCATCAAAGATAGAAGTGTTCGGCTCCAGCGCGATTGCTCTGGAGTCCCATCAATTTTACAAATTGACCAAAACATTTTTTTGGTAGAAAAGCCTCGCATACCAGGAGTCTTTAGCTTGATCAAACTGCTGCTCTGCTCGAGAGCATGACTGTTATTTTTATAACTCTGTATTACCATGGCAAACGCTGGCAGGGGAAGAAGAGAAACCACATCAGTAGCAACTTCCATCTGATTTGTGGTCGTGTGCTTATAGCTTGACATGGCTTTGCAAATAGCTAAACAAAACCAGGAATTCGTCTGGGGGGGAAGGGGAGGACACAAAAATGCCCTGCATCAGATATGTGGTGTGCAGAGCCTGACTCGCTCACAATTTGGATCTTTACATGGAAAATGGCTGAGAGCAGGAACGGGAACCCGTTGCCCTCAGCTCGGCTGTGGGGCTGCAGCGTGGCTGAAGGCAGCCGCTGA